CTCATGAGACAGGGGGCGGAGTTTTCACAGAAGGCACAGTGTGAAATGAGGATCAGTCAGGACCTGTGCCAGGTGGACTGAGGGCCAGTGTGCCAGTGAAGGGGTGGGGGTGGGGGTGTCTTGCTGGAGGTCTCCCTTGACCGTGCAGTGTGGGGAAAGGGACAATCCCTACAACTTGCCCCTCAAAGAGGTGGCCAGTCTGGGCCATGGGGGTAGCCGAGCCACAAGAAGCATGCTGTAGAAAGGAAAGAAAGGAAAAGGCAAGCAGCCGAGGGGCGTGGGGCTGAGATTCAAGTGGTACCCTCCACGCCAGACCAAGAGTCCATTCACACGGGCGCGTTTGAGGCCTGTGGGGACAAGCAGACCAAGTGGTTTCTCCCGGGAAGGCTCAGCTGAGGCTCTGGATGCCAAATGCCACCTTTAGGAATCTACAACACAAAAGAAAGAAAAGCTTTCTGTTAGGGAGGAAGGCAGCAGGCCGGAGGCGGGCACTCTGCAGATGGCACCGCCCTGGTCAGGGGAGGGTGGGTAGAGAAGGCAGGAGGGGGTGTTTTAGGCAATTGGTTACCACAGGCTCATTCTGAGGTAAGGAACTTTCACGGTTTCATCTCCAATCATTGCTTCAGGGATAAGGGAACCTTCCTGACTCATCTTTTTAAATCAGTTTCATTTTGAGAGAGCGAGAGACATGCTTAACTTCCCAGAATGATGAAAGGAAAGTAAAAGCTCAATTTTCTCTCAGTTTGAAACTCCTTATTCTCTAACGGGCAAGCATAGAGAATATTTGGCGAAAAAGAAAACTTGTGTTCTACGTTTCTTCAGCCATCAACAGTGAAAGTTCCTCATCTTGAGGAGAGAGAAAAGCAACAAGAGAAATGCAGACATTTTTCCAAGCCCTTCAGGATATACAGGGTAAGAAACAAGGAAGCTGGTATCATGTAAAAGGATTAAAAAAAAAAAGCATTTGGCTAGGAAATTCCTCATGACTAAGAATGAAATAGTTAAATATACATATTACGCAGAATACCTTTCTTGGAAAGGTGATATCATTTAAAATACACAACACTGAGAAAAAAATATAACGTTTATTAAAGAGGCCAAGAGAGTACAGCTGAAAGACGCCAGACAAATTGCTTTCTTGGAGAGTCAAGAGTAGAAGGAGACAGTCACGTTGGCTGGATTCAAACACAACTTACTCAGAACCCAAGTGTCTAATAATGTCAAGTGTGGGATGGGCAGCAGGGAACAGTGCTTGCAGCTGCCCCAGTCGTTAAGGAAACAAAAAGGTCATTAGCAGCAGAGTCACCAATAAAACAAACAGATACAAGAGCAAAACATTAAAACAACTAAATCAAGTCATTGTTTTAGATCTTTGCAGTATATACAAATACACTCTGGGGTGGGTGGGGGATTATGGATATAATCAAGAGAAAACAATTGAGAACACAAAAACAAAATCACAAGAGGTCACAATTCAGTTGACCAGCTGACAACTGCTCTCATCTAAATATTTTTGGCAATCATTAAATAACCACATCTTTAGACACCACACAAAAAAAGCGCACTGACATTATGAAGAATAAAACAACTGCTTTCAGTTCCGGGCACCTCAGCCCAGGGTGGTGTTTGGGGTGAGGTCTGAGGAGTTTTTATAAACAAGGTGGTGTCAGTCAGCTTCTACACATTATTACCCAGTGAGTGTATCAACAGATGGGAGGGAAACTGGAGGGGAAAACAAAACATAACCTTTACAAGCCACCTGAAATTTTGCTGCTTTTATTTTTTTCAAAGAACTGCTGGAAGAAAACAAAACTACTTTGGGCGGAAATTGAAATTCCTGATATTTTGGGAATTGTTTCAATACTATTTGTAATACTTTACACATTGACTAGAAGAAATGAACCTACAAAAATAGCACACATTCATCTGTTTTAACTTAAAATAATGATCATGAATTTATGTACACTAACAGCTCCCCCTCTCCCGCCCTATGCAAAGCAATAGAGCTATTTTCTGAGTCAAATTTGCAAGACTCCAAAGAAACACTCACACACATCCCTTCACAGAACGCCACACTGGTCAAGGCAGCCTTTCAAAGGCTAGGGTTAGTCTTGCCTGGTTTGGGGTTTTTTCCAAGGCTTAGTTTGCCTTCTCCAGTAGCTGGCAGTCTAAAATGAGTTCATCATTGGATAAAAAGATTAGATTTTAACAGATTGGGTTTCCAAATCACTTGGTTCCATCTCAATTGGTAATCTTCCAAACAATGCCCCCCACCCCATCCCCATTAATTTCAATTCAGCAGATCAGTCGGCCAGAGTAAAACTGCTTGGTGAGAGCGTGCAAGCCTGGGATTTCTTTGGAAGCAAACGGCCACATCTCTCTCTCGTTCAGAGCGGTTGGTGGCTTCAAGCTGCCACATTTCTAGTTAGGGGTTAAGTGCTTAACCATTGTACCACCAGGGCTCTTTGGTGACCTCCTTGCTGCTCATTAAAACAGGGTTCCAGGATCAATTGACTTTCTCACTTCACTATTTCAAAAGGTGAATTGAAACCACTGTCCTAAAGAAGTATGGGGTCAGGACAAGTCATTCATTGTGTCTGCAGAGGCATAATAATGGAAAATAGGAGAAAAAAAATTTACAACATTTTAATTATTTCTTGAGATGAGGAGGTTAAAAAATGAAGACAATCAGGTTGAGAAGCATCTACTTGGTGGCTTTGACGGTATACGTTGCCGTATCCAACACTGCTGTAACCACTGTGAGAAACTCGTCAAGGGGTCCACGTTGGCAACTTCCTGAGAATCTATAATTATTTCCAATTTCGAGTCTACTGGATGCTTCACTGGAGAAGGAGGGGCAATCTCCTCCTGTGCCAATTGGATCTGACTTGATGGTACACAACAACAACAACAAAGTTCAAAAGCTTATTGTGGGAGGTGGGCTGTAAGTCTGTAAGCAGGGCTCTCAAATTCCATTTAGATGGTCCTTATGAGATTTTAAGGTAACTTGCTCAAACACAGGCCTTCCCGGAGCATAAATGCTCATCATTTTTACCGGTTTTTCAACAACAACAAAGTTCAAAAGCTTATTGTGGGAGGTGGGCTGTAAGTCTGTAAGCAGGGCTCTCAAATTCCATTTAGATGGTCCTTATGAGATTTTAAGGTAACTTGCTCAAACACAGGCCTTCCGGAGCATAAATGCTCATCATTTTTACCGGTTTTTCTCCCCTGATGTGCTGCTGTCCAGTTAAAAATTAGCTTTGAATTAATCTGTGCTTATAAAATGAGGCAATAATGCGAAGGCAAGAAGGCCATTTTTCCTATTTAAAAGAAGGAACAAGGATAAATAATTTCAAAGGAAAATGCTCTCTAGCCCCATTGCTTTCCTTCAGACCTGTTTATAGTGTGTGTCTGGTCTCGACATGGAGTTTCATTTACAAGACACAACTGAACACTGGGCTGGGTACCTGTCTACCCATCTCATCAACTCCACCATCTACCCTTCAGGGCCAATTTAAGAATGCAAATTTCCACATGGCCCAGATTTGCTTAAAGAGGATGAAAAATTTCCTTTTCGTCTACAGTTAATAATAAAAACAGTTAATAATAAATTTTTCCAAAGTGAGTCTTGTGATTGCCACTTAAAACAATCCGGTAAATTCAGAGGCAGAGTCTTAAAGATGTCAGTGATTACACCTGCCTGCCACCCCGGCTGTGCACAGGGATGAGGTCAGAGTCTGTGTGTGGAAGTCGCTGCGCCTAGACTGGGTTCTATTTATAGGTCACCTGGGGAAGTGTGAGCTAACACAGCTGCTCCCACCACAAATCCTTGACCAGAGACAGAACCGAGGGGAGAAAATGTCAGAAAAGGGATGGAGACATGAGCGGGCGCTGCTGTTACACAGGCTGAGCTGAATGGCATTAACACATCTGATCACCTGGCCCAGCTGGGGAGGGAGAAGAAGGCACATCATCAGAGAGATCTGTCGCCTTCTGGACCTTACGTTTTCAGATTTCAGTTGGCTTTTTGAGATCATAGAAACAAAAATCTGAACTAACAATGACCTTAAACATGTTTAAGAAAAATAATTTAGTACTTCTGTAAGAATTTTCTCACTTCTTCTCACAGGAGTCCCTGTGTGGTACAAACGGTTAAAAATGCATCTAGCTGCTCATCTAGGGCCTGGAGCTTCAAGTCCACTCAGAGGGGCCTCAGAAGAAAGGTCTGATGATTTACATTAAAAAAATTATCCAATTGAAGCCTCAAGAAGCAAGTTTACTCTGACACACACAGGGTTTCCAGGGGGGCACTCAAATTTCAGAGCACATGGTTCTTTTGTTTACTCAAGAAAGGAGGTTCTATTTTATTCAAGATTTCTCTTAAACAAACACAAAACGTAACAAACTGGCACAGTTCAACTGATGGAGTGACAAACAGTGACATTCTCCTGTCGTTTTATGGCAGACTCCAGGTATAAAGACGAGCCGGAAGTCTTCTGCACCCCGTGATGTGATGTGTGGACTCTGCAACTCAGACAAATGATTAGAGACTAGACTGCAACTTTTTTTCTTTTTGTGTGCGTGTACCGTCAAATCAGATCTGACTGGTACAGGAGGAGATTGTCCCTCCTTCCCCGGCAGAGCATCTGGTGGATTCGAACCGTGCGCCTCTGGGATTGTAGTTGCAGCTCCTTACCACTAGGCCACCAGAGCTCCGACTGCAACCTTGTTTTTTTTAAAAAAAAAAAAATCTGCAGATGCTGCCAAAGAAGGAATGGTTAGCATATTTCAAACAACACAGTTGTAAATTGGCAGTTGGCATCTTTCCACATAAAACTTCATCTCAGCAAGTGGAATTTTATTATCACCAGAATTAGCCAAGGGAGTGGAGGGGTACCATCCCTAAACACCGACTGTGATGCTCCCATCCATTCTTTGGAAGAACTGCCTCTAACAGTCAGAGTTGTTTTTAAAGTTTTGTTTTGTTTTTAAAATTGGTATTAAATATAAGTCTTAGCACCTTTGGCATTTTTGTCCAAATAGACTTCGACGTATGAAGTGGGAACGTAACCCTCTTCATCTTCGTTCCTCCGGATGCGGGTCCACCCGTCGCCTTTGTCTTCCTCTATGACAAACAGTGTTTCGCCTTCAGCTACCGAAATGGTTCCTTCATTCTGACCTGAAAAACAATTATCAGAGTAGTTTAGGCTTCCTGTTAAATACAGGTAGAGAGTAAACAGGAACCTATGAAATCAAGTGTGTGTGGTAAAGGGGGAGGGAGACCAAATTCACCAGCTCTGAGTTCTCACATGCAGTTACCACTATTACTCAGACCTCACCAGCTGCCCCCAAACCTTTCCTGCCTACACAGAATCTTCCACGTCCTACCCTTTTGTCCCTGTCCCCCCCCCCAAAACAAAGGTGAGTCCTCTCCCTCATCTCCCTTAGACGTCTCTCTTGGGGTGAAAACACCTTCTTGATTTCAATTACACTTTTTAAAACAATAATCCTATTATCTCCTCACAATTCTGGTCCTTTTCCTACTTTCTGCAGCACATTTCCACCTCGATGTTATTCTAGCACCTGGACCTTAACGTGGGTGCAAATGAACTCACTGTTTTTTGCCCAAATTAGATCCCCCCTCAAATTTCCTAGTTTAGCAGCTAGCTGCCCTCTCTCAGGAAGATAATTTCAGTAATCAAATCTGACTGACTCCTCTCTTTCTGATTTCCAACCAGCTAACTGGTTTCCAATCAGGCTAACTGGTTCGTCAACTGCAGCCTCTCCTCTGTCCATTCCTTAACAAAGGCCACCTGTTAAAAGAATCCCCCATAACTAGCCATTGCTTTCTGACAGACACATGGTTCAGGGAGTCACTGGTGGTTTGTCGGGAGGAGGGATGGAGGGAGTCTTGGGTGTGGAATGTAACTGGAAACACCTAAACCTATATTTCTCTTCCTGGGTTTGTCATGTGGGTCACTAAGTCTATTACAGGCTCTGAAGGATCCTGTAATGAAGAAATCTGTAAAAGGCGTCTATCTCAGGGCTGCCCCAAAGTACCTGAGCTCTTAATATGCTTTGTTTTGGCTTTAAGTGCACTCTTCCAAAAGTCATCAGTATACTAACTACCAGCCCAGTTTATCTAACCATCAGCACTGTTTTAAACCCTATCCTGTCAATGACAATAAATCCCCTAAGGCACAGCTCTGATTATGTCAATATGTTGCTTAAATACACCCAAATAGCTCCTTGCTCATTCTTTGCTATTTGCCCGCGCCTTGGCACTTTCTACTTTCTAGTCTCCTGTCCCACTGTCAGCAAAGATAAGCTGCACAACAGACACCCCCACCCCTCACTCCCATGCTTGGGGGCCCATCCTGCTGATACACCACAGCATCCAATGTTCTCTTAACCCCTCCCCAGAGAGTTCTGTACCCACTGCCTTACTCTGTTGCCCTTGTCCTTGTAAATTCTCTTCTGTCTTGTTTCTACAGAGTGGATGCCACACCACATTTCCTCCTGGGGTCCTTTATAAGACAAACCTAAACTAGACCCACATCTGTAGAGTCGATTTTGACTCCTGGTCATCCTCCATCAAGCTTCCAAGGCCATAAGTCTCAACAGGAGCAGACTGGCTCCTCTTTTTCCAGTGGAGTGGCTTGTGGATTCGAACCATTTGTTGACCTTTCAGTCAGCAGCCAACACAAGCCTCAATATTAAGACAGGAGTTCGAGAAATATGAACTAATCCATACTCTCCACTGGATTTAAGCTCACAGATAGTTGTTAAATTGCATGAATTAGGAGTCAAAATGCATACCCATCAAGCAAATAATAAAGATGTCAGGAGAATGAAAGCGCAACAGAAAAAGATTCCGAAAAGCTTTCAAAGAATGTTTGTATCACAAAAACAGAAGAGTGACTCAGATACAAACGATGAAAAATAAGGAAACTAGGCTGATAGGAGAGTCACCTTCAAATGTGTAGAGAACTTTACAAGTCCCGATGGCGGGAAGCGGCTCCTCGTCGTCAAATTCGTCGTCGAAATCAGTGGCCAGTACCTTCATCTCACTCTCCTGACTCTGTTCCTCTGTGTAACTGCCATCTGGGCTGCTCAAGAAAGAAAAACACAGCAACTATAGCGACCGACTTCAGCGAGGCCTGGAGTGCAGCACACACAACAGCCAAGTGCCTGCAGGCCCCGGGCTGTCGTCGTGCGCCTGCGTCACCGTCTACAGAGAATTCTAACCTTGCATCAGGAGGAAGAAAAAAATCACAAGTCAACTGTAACAGGCAGTTAGGTATTAAACAAAATGCTTTACACTCATTTCCAGATTCCAGAATTTAGGAATAAATACAAAGTAAAACAAATGTAATACATTTGTAATGCAGCTGTATTACACTCACCAGCCATATCAGCACTAGATCAAAAACTGATGCAATTCCAGGCTGATTAAATCAAGTTACCCTCACATTGACATGACCTGGCTTATTCCATGGTCAATGTCCCAAAATCTGTGGCTCAAACCATAGTTTTATTTTTTTTTTTAATTTTATTTGTGTGAGTGTACCGTCAAATCAGATCTGACTGGTACAGGAGGAGATTGCCCCTCCTTCCCCGGCAGAGCATCTGGTGGATTCGAACCGTGCACCTCTGGGATTGTAGTTGCAGCTTCTCAAACCATAGTTTTATGCCAATGAAATTAGAAATCGAACCCCTCCAGTAATTTTGACAGTTGATCTTCTACTTAATAAATCATTGAGAAGCTACCTCATAGTTAGAATATGAGTAAGCTTTTGTTTCTTTTAAGGAGTCTAAAATTATAGTAAGTCCTACCATGCCGTATCCACCTACTTTTAGTAGGATAGCAGCTAGGACTATAGACTCTAAAATAGGAGCTTCTATAGAGACTTTGGGTAGTTGTAAGTGTAGGTCATATGAGGTGTTTCAACTATAAAGGCTAACATGCATGCTAGTCAGAAAAGTCAGAGGCTCCTGATGGGTCCAGCGTTTGGTCCAGTTAGGCTTGCCAGAGGCCAATAACAAAACAAACAGTGCTATACAGATACTGTACCTCTCCCGGTCCTGGGGACAGCTGTTAACTGACGGGGGGTTCTGGGCATCGTACATTCCACTCTGTCGGCGGGCCTGGTCCCCTCGTGCTGTGAGCCTGCCTTCCACCTCAGCCAACCAGGCCTGAAAACAAAAATGAGGCAAGGGGTCCTGAACTCACTCAAGAACCAGAAAACGGGGTGTAAGACCTCACTCACACTCGAGGCCATTTAAACTAACATGGAAAGACTCTGGGGACAGAATATCTAGTTTATTCGCATTTGACCTTCTAAATGTATTCAATGGCAAATCCTTTAATCAACCCACTACTACTGGAGAAGTAGAGGTGAACTTGAGATGATGCAATAGTTCACAATGTGGCTTTTAGTATCTTCTGAGTCAAAAGTTCTATGACCATGAGGTCAAACTTGTATTGCTTGCACTCAGTTTGAAAGCTGTACTTCTCAATTTTTTTTAGAAGTATACATTTCTCCCCCCTAATGCTGAAGAAACTTTTACACAGGAAAAAGGAGGCAAAATGATCTTTGCAATAATGTAAAGTTGATGTTATGGGTTGAACTGTGTCCCCTCCAAAAAATACAGTGAATCCTAGTAACCAGTATGTGTGAATGAGACCTGATTTGGAAAGCAGGCCCTTGTGGATTAGTTAGCATGAGGTCAAACTGGAGTAGAGTGGGCCCTGATCCATTACAACAGAAGGCAACAGACAAGAGGCAAACAGATCAAGCAGTGGGAAGGCGGCCTTGTGAAGCAGGAGCCCAAGAGTGAAATGGTGCTGTCACAAACCAAAGAATGCCAGAAGCCAGGAGAGGCAAGGAAGGATTCTCCGCTCAGAGCCTCAGAAGAAAACACGGCCCTGCCAACACTAGATTTTGTACCTGTAGCATCTACACTTTGGAGACAATCAAATTCTGTTTTTATCCACCTGGCTTGGGGCACTTTGCTATCCCAGTCCAAGTAAAGTAATACAGACAGTAAAGAAAGAAAAAGAATCAGGAAAAAAAGGTGTATGAGCTTCTGAACAGATCAATACAGCCTTAGTAACTTATTGGAAGATTTTTAAAGATAATGGAAAATGCCATGTTTGACTCTTCAATGCTGGCGAAAATAACTTCTGATTAGAATTAGTTGCTGATTTTTTTTTTATCCTCTGCGGTCTTTAAATGTGTGTGTTTGTCTTTCTGTGCACAGCTTCTGAGTGCCCTTTCTCTGACACACAGAGCTGTCTTAGTTGTCTAGAGATGTTACAACAGAAACGCCACAAGTGGGTGGCTTTAACAAACGCAAGTTTATTCTCTCAAAGTTTAGGAGGCTGCAAATCCAAATTCAAGGTACCATCTCTAGAGGAAAGCTTTCCCTTCTCGGCCAGCACTGGTGAAAGGTCCTCATCATCAATCTTTCCATGGCTCTAGGATCCCCGGTCCAAGGACACACACCCTTCCCAGTTCTTTTTTGGTGGTATGAGGTCCCTCTACTCACTTTTGACTTTTAATCTCTTTTATATCTCAAATAGCATTTCAAAATGCTTAAGAGTAAGGATGTCAGCTTAAAAGCCATGGTTTGCCTGACTCAAGTCATGGTATATTCAATGGCTCCCTCTGTATCTCAAAGTTGGACAAAGAATAAGAAAGACCAAAGAAGAACTGAATGAAGCCTCTGAAGTGTGATGTTAGCACAAGCACTGAATCGTGGACTGTCAAAAGAACAAACAAATGTGTCTTGGAAGTGCAACCAGAGTGCTCCTTGGAGGCAAAGATGGTGAAATTTTGTCTCCTATTCTTTTGGCCATATTGTCTTTGCAAAAAGTCCATCATGCTGGTAAAGGTGGAGAGTCAGAGAAAGAGAAGAAGACCTTCAATAAGCTAGACTCATACAGTGACTATAACAGTGGACGTGAGCATGTCTGGATTGTAAGGATGGTACAGGACAGAACAAGATTCAGATCTGTTGTTCATAGGGTTGCTAGGAATCAGTCAACTTGATAGCACCTAACAACAATATACGTCAAAAAAAGATTAACTCAAGATAGAACCTAATCCTAAAAAAAAAAGATAGAACCTAATCCTCTAGCTTGTCTCCTGCCTCAGTAATAGAGCTGTCACTAAAATTAGCTTCATTAAATTCACAGAGTTTAGGATTACAACACACAGGCTAATGACATCAGTGTAACATGGAGGATCATTACATAAAAGTGAGAATCATGGTCTAGCCAAACTGACACATAGTTTCAGAGGAGATTCAATGACACCAATAATAACCTTTTGGTAATGGATGCTCTTTTTAAAAACTTTTTAAAGAATTTTTCTTTTTACACTAAGATGATGGAAGAAGGATTACTTCCGGTTATATCTTATTAATATAAAACACAGCAGAGTGGACTTCAGTGAAATGTTTACATAAAAAACAAAAATCCTGAAAAAAGCACCATTACCAGAATAAAGAAGTATCAAGCTGCAACGAAAAAAAAAAATCCCCAAATATGTTACATTCAAATACAGTTTTAAACAGCATCAAATTTAAGATGCACAACGGAGAAAAGCTGAGGAGTGGAATATTGAGTGGCTGACAGTACTTCGCCTTTTAGCATAACTCATTCTACACCGTCTCCCTTTTAGTAAGAGAAATGGTGGTGATAGTCTATAACATACACTTAATGACACCAAAGCTTTCCAAGAACACCTTCTCCATACCTCAAACTTCTGGACCTCAAGTCGTAATTTTTCTATATTTTGGCCAACTTCTGTCAATTTGTGATCTAAACTGGCTGGGTCTCCCATTTGAGGATTCTTCAGGTAGACATCTTTCATTTTTGTTATGGCATCTCTGAAAGTGAGAATGAGTAAGACACAGTAAAGGCTAATGTTCTCAGACGGTTATATTCTCCTACCACTTTGAAACCATGTGAAAAGGAGTATGGAGTTTGTTTTTTTTTTTTTAAAGGGAATATTGGTGTTCCCCTTTCTTCTAAAAGTTCTCTATATTAATTTGGCTACTAAAATCTGTATAATCCAGGGGTTGGGAAACAGACTCATCTGCCTTTCACCATCCCCAAATAATAGAAATAAATAAAATCCAATTATTCCCAGTGTGCATTCTTGATAGAAACCAAAACTATAACTGGTATCTTAGGTTTTGTGGCCATATGTTTACTTATAAGAAGCACAGTTAACTGCTTTGAAAATTTCATTACATACTGTTTCCACTTTAAGAGCGAAATGAAGTTACAAATTGCAAGATTTCCTGAAATCATGTTTGGAAGATATCCTACAATAGCCAGAGAGGATACTTCCTAGAAAAGCACTGGAACCCCAGCTAACATAACGAAATTGTATATAAGACCACCGTTTGGCCTATTTATAGAATATAAGGTACCAAATTATCATTTCTTAATTACCCCCCCTTTTCTTGTTGGGTACTGTCGAATCAGATCCGACTGGCACAGGAGCAAAGTGCCCCTCCTTTTCCTTTTCAGCTGAGCATCTGGTAGATTTGAACCTCACGTCTTCAGGATTGCAGCACAACTTCTTGCCACTAGGCCACCAGAGCTCCCTCAAATTATCATTTTTTTTTTAAATGAATGATTCATCAGTTCCATTCAGCAAGAGCACATATATGTATAAACTGAGAAATAATTTAAAAAGAAGTTTTTCAACCAGGATTTTAATATCCCCTAAATTATGTGAAACTATTACAGATTATGAACAAGAGGAGCAGAGCCCAAATTACAGGCAATATCAACTAACTTTTTACTTTTGATAAAAGAGATAGCCAGATATACTTTGCCCTTGTAACTCAGCAGAAAACCTACCTCTCAATTTATAATTCATAAGCAATTCAGTAGATGGACTGTGACAAAACACACCTGCTAAATAATCACTTTTAAATCTCTTTTAGGATTTACCATACTTCCAAGTGGAACTAGGTTTTTTCCATAAGTCACATTGATCCACTCTACCTTTGATCCATCTCCTTTTGTATTTCTTTATTTAATTCATCGACCTTCTGTTGCAGCTTTTCCCTCCTCTGTTCAGGTGGCAGGTTGCTGAAATCCTCTGGTGTTGCACCCTGCAGACACAACCACAAATGAGAAGCCATAAAAGCCACAGGCACTTTAGAAAAGAGAAAACAGAGCAAAGGCTGCAGGACAGATTGAGTCCTCTGACAACAGGTGGATGCAGAAGCCGGCATGGATTTTCATGAAAGACATCGAGCTCTTTCCCATTATGCCCAGCTGAAATGCAAAACCAAATGCATGCAAACCACTAAAGTCCCACAAACCATTCTGCATTCCATTGATGCTAGCCAAAAAATGTTCTGCAAAGGCCAAGGGCAATGCCACAGGAAGGAGATAGGGAAAGAAATACTTTTGACTCCAGTGACAATCACCTAATAACATATCTGAGATAGAGCCTTGATTTTGCTACAAAGTGTGGCCACAAGTTTTTGTCTCCTTAATATAAGGAAGTTTATGTTTTCTTAGTATAAACCAGTGATAAGCCCTCACCCTCAACTGTTTCATATCTCAGCCACTGATTTCTATCTCTCATTTCCTCACATAAGGCTGAAGCCAAAAGTTTCCATACCCATAAATTGACAGATGGGACATCACCTTCCTCAGAGAGTGTGGATGAAAAAGATATTACATATATATATATCCATCCTCCTCCACCATGTGGTCTTCCCTCTGTTGCCTCTAGCCTAGGCTGATCACTTCTTTTTGACACAATTAGCTTTAAAGAATTCCTATCGAATACTCTCTCTGACCTGAAAAATCAATCCGCTACAATATAGGGAAGCAACCTCAGCAGCCTGCAGCCTGTCTGTAGATGTGTGTTGATACCTTGGTCCCCTTTCACAATCACTACCTTTCCTCTGTGCATGTGATTCAGGTTAGGAAAGTTCAATTCCTAGACTTCTTCATGTGCTTGCTAACTACAAAGCTGTGGCCAAGTTGTCACATCAAGTGCTTTTATGTAAAGGGGGCTAATTTCATAGAGAAAGAAAAGTTTACACAATCATCAGGGAATTTACCAAAGAGATTTTCTTTTAAAAGGCCCAATTCTTTTAAAACAAAGGCAAGACTGCCTTGGAAGTGGGTGGAAAAGAAGGGGCCTGGATAATGTCATTTCAAAGGCAAGTTGAGCGTGCCAAGTTGCTCACACGGGGGGCTGTGATTGCAGTTCTTAGCGACTCTGTGACTGGATTTTGTGAGAAGACCAGGCCATGGAGACGGGAAGTATGTGATTCATAAAGGCCATAGAACGGACCTTTTGGTTACTGTTCTCAAAGACTCGCCCGTCAGACACACAGACTGAGCGCCTTGGCTTCCACTCTGGTTTTGTGTCCACTGAACGTGGGATGAAGATGATTTGGGTGAACTAGAACAGAAGTGACTTTCCCCTAATACTAAAACAAAGGAGCGTACTGAGACTGTAACTAAGATGTAAAAAAAGAATTATAAGTAAAAGACCTTCCCCCCACGCCATGCTCAAAGACACTTACTACAGTCAAATGAGTTGTGACTCAGAGTTATCCCCCCATTGAGTGAGTTCCCAAGGCTATAAATCCAAATGGGAGGTGACTGTCTATCTTCTCGAAGGGCTCCTTGCAGATTCCGAAGGGCTCCTTGCAGATTCCAAACCGCAGGAGCTGCACACCCTTTTGGGTCAGCAGCACACCTCACAGACTATGCTCCCAGAGCTCCTTCTGTATACTGTTGTCGTTGAGTGCTGTTCAGTCAGAGCTGACCCAGTGCTGACCCGCCAGAAGGTTTTTCAGAGGCGGTAAATCACCCGGGAGAAGACTGCTCTTCCTTCCCCCAAGGAGGAGCTGGTGGATTCAGACTGTCTTGTCTGCCTTGGGGATGGCAGTGCAGCTCCTTAGCACAGGGTTACCAGAGTTCCCTTTCACACACTGTTGTTGCTGAGTCAGAACCGATCCCAACCCTCCAGCAGGTTTTCAGAGGCTGTTAATCTAATGGGAAGAGATTGCCCTTCCTTCCTGCGGTGCAGGTGGTGGATTCAAACCTCATACCTTTGGGATTGAGGGTCAGTTTCTTCCCACTAGGCCACCGGAGCTCTCTTTCATATACTGGAGTATTAAAATATTTTAAATCTTAATAATTTGCTTTTCCTCAATTCAATCACTGAACTTGGAAAAAAACTGTATTTGTTCTCAGGCTGAATTATAAAAACTGAGGTACTTTTTAAACTTATTTTTTTTTTTAAAGCAGATGTGCAATATAACTGCTTGAGAAAAGTCAGGCACCCCAGAGAGCGGTCAATGGTAATTCCATTAATGTTCACTGAGCATTCATTCCATGGGTAGGGCTTGGGGCGGGCGAGGCTTGGAGTTCTGGTACTGAACACTCAGTTTCAGCTTCTGTTCTGTTGGGGTGTGGCTGGATTAGAAGCTTTCTCAGATTTCCTCTAACCAAAGTCCAATAGACCTTTCTGCAGTGATGGAAATGTTTCTGTCTGCACTCTCCAATACAGTAGCCATTAACCTTGTGTGGACACAGAACACTTAAAATGTGGCAGTGGAACAGTGGAACAGATTTCTGAAATGGGTGTAATTTTACCTAATTAAAATTGACATAGCCACATATGACTGTTGTTAGTTACCAGCAAATTGGCTCTGATTTGTAGCGACCTTGTGCAGAACAGAATGAAATCTTGCCACTCCTGCTCCATTCTAACAATTTCTGCTGTCCTTAAGCTCACTGCAGCAGTCACTGTGTCAACCCAACCTGCGGAGGGCCTTCCTCTCCTCAACTACACTCACTTCTTGTCCAAGCATGGTGCCTTTTGGCTACCGGATCAGACCATGCAGAGCCAGACTATGTAAGATATACATTAGTCATAAACAGCAAAGAAATACGTGAGTGAAAAAAAATACTCCACTTATGCTTATAAATGGATACTCTCAAAAGCAATTTTAAAAATGGAGACAATCAGGTTTCTTTTAATAGATGCTTCTGTGATATTATTTCAGAATGAACCACAGTGATGGCCTCAAACAAGAGATTTAGGTCAACAGCTTTTTTTCTGAAGTCAAGGAAACTTAAGGTTTCCAGAGGGATCTTAAAATGTCATTTTATCCAATTAGCATTTTGAAGTTTGAAGTTTTGAAGCTTTTAAACAGTATTCTGACCTATGAAGGACCCTTTGTTTCTAGGTTTAAGTCAAAGCATATTTTCTGAAATCGTTGGAGCTGCCCAGTTTACAAAGAGGCTTGCCACTCCAGGTGACACATTATTGGAAGAGGGGTCAGACACATACATTTTGAGTGGCTGGGCTTTGTAAGAGGATCTTATTTTACATGCTAGTGGAGTCAAACACTTGCTCTCTAACCAAACAGCACAAGTGCCTTTTGTGATTATTTTTTTTACACTCAAGTCTGTGTGTGTACGCAACTCTGCATATCTTTATTTACTTCTAAGTAATAAAATAAAACAGCAGTTCAATACCAAGTGGGTAAAATGTATTTCAAACCAAAAAAGACTGCCTTATAGGACCACCGCTTGGTGCTGGTACTCCAACAAAAGGCAGGAAAGAAATTCTGGCTGGTTGAGAAAAACTCCAAATTAACCAAGCCAATTTCCCCCCAAGTTGATGCTGCTGATGAATTAAATGCATTTAATGGTCTGGATCTCTTGTCTTCTTCAAGGCTTTTCTGAGGATTTTAATTTGGTCTAAGAAATGCTTCATAAAATATCCTTTGATTTAGCGTTGAGCCAGTTCCTAAACATGGTTGAAAAAACAACCAACTTGAAAAGTATATACATACCTTTGTCCACCTCATATATTAGTGTGGATATATAAGAAAACCATAAACTGCTATCCTAGTTAGCAACAGTAATACAGAAAGCCTGATCTTATTTCTGGTCAAACTGTTGTAGTTAATGGATGATCATTATGTTGAGACAGCAGCTATAAAATCTGAGGATGTCATGTAATTTAGGTATATTTGAAGTATTGTTATTGGTTACATTGGTTAAGAGGTTGGAGTTTAAAAAAAATAAATGTGTTAATGTGATTGTTCACTAGGAGGGCTTTAAGTTAAATAAAAACACAGAACACCAAGTAAATAATTCTGGAAAGGCTTAGGAGGCTCTTTTCACTGTCCATAAAGCCATCTTGTGGACTTTTAAATTAATTGTGCACAAAATACGATTTTCCACTTGTGGAATACCTGAAAATCCTGTTGGTTTTCAGTTCCAAAGGCCAGGGCAGGCTGGCATCACTCTGCCTGATCCCTCAGGAGCCCTGCTTTCTCATCTACTTCAGAGAGGAGTAGTTTTCCATTATGAAATATATTTTTTTAAAAAAATTAAAATTTATTTATTGGCTCCAAAGGATCCAATAGATAACACCACTTGGCAACACTTAACATTTATGTCTGTATTTATATAGAATTTATCAACATTTGTCATCCTCTTAAAGCCCTGATTAAGAAAATCCAAATTATGAGTGAAGTGTTAATTTTCTTAGCAGATTTAAAAGATTAAGACCCCTCTATTAGAGTCTCTACCTTTGCATTTAAAAGGTTTACTAAAGGAACATCAAATAAAGGCACAGGCAGGAGAAACACAAAGCAACAGTTAATTTAGAAGACAGGCCTATCACAGCACCCACAAAACACATACAGAAAAACCTCGTTAGACTCCAGACATGCATGGAATCATTGTGCTTACCAGCTTCAGAGAAAGCTTCATGTAAAAATTGAAGGGATAACGGGGGAAAGAGAGAGAAAATAACAGTGCATCAGAAGAAAAGGATGTGCATCAGTTCCACTCTGTTAACATAACACATAAATCCACCTGTCGATTTGTGAAAACAGCTTGTAGCAAATCTGTGCAAAAGTTCACAAGAGAAGCTGGTCCCTACTGAAATCCTCTTTTTTTGGCTGCCACATTGCCAAAGCCAAGATTAAGAAAGGAAAGGAGAGCTTCAGTCTACGATTTTTTGTTGATCAGGTCAGCCTGGGTGTTAACCAAAGTTCAGGCTGCAATCGGTCACGTAAAATGAGTATAAATGGCAAAAATAATAGTATAGCTTTAAAAA